ATATACAGTCGTCCCTCGCCACTTCGCGCTTCGACTTTCGCGGCTTCACTCTATCGCGGTTTTTTCAAATACCTGTATATTGGGTAATACGACTGTAATGGTGACTAAAGAGTGTTATTTCATGTCTATTAGAGCCCTCTAGACATGAAATAACACTCTTTAGTCACCATTACAGTCGTATTACCCAATATACAGGTATTTGAAAAAACCGCGATAGAGTGAAGCCGCGAAAGTCGAAGCGCGAAGTGGCGAGGGACGACTGTATATATATTTTTTTTTTCCCCATGTAAAACAGATGCAAGAGGTTCCAGAAACCTCCAGATAAAATTTCAAGGAAATCCCTTATATGCAACGGATTTAATCAAATTTGCCTAAATATGCATCAACCACGCTATCATAGGCTGAATTGTATATGTGGCAACCGACACTTAAGGGTTAAGGGGCAATATACATCAGAATGGCAACCAAATTTCTCGAACTGAAAGTATCATTCATTTCAACATTAATCTGCACATGCTATTTGCCATTGGAGATCTTGTGACGAGTACTAACTTGAATTAAAAAACGGTTTTGAAAATTGTGACATAATAACATATTCAGGAGGGGTCAAAAGTCAAAAGGTACAAAATTGGTTACACCCACATAGGGAAATCCCCCACCAATTTTTTTTTCTCCCTATTGCTATTATCTTTTTTAAACCTTTAGGATACATTATTGTTGGAATGGAGTACAAACCGATGTTGTTAACTTTTGAATATATTCACTTATGTTGCCATGGCAACAGTTTCATACTTTACCACCTCCACATTGCTGGTATAAACATTTTTTTACCAAATCTCTGGAACTAAACCTCCCATTGACATTTCATGCTAAATTTGATAGGGTAAGGCATTACAATGAAAAAACTAAAGGGCATATATGGACACCACAGACCAGTGTTTCCCAAATGGTGTGCCATGAGATTTGAGAGTTGAAAAAAAAAACTAAAACTAAAAAACTTAAAAACATAAAAACAAGAGGGAACGCCTTCTCTCAGTGGAAAACGAGCTGAGAGTTGTATTATCACGCCTCGTATCAAACTGCTGTGTTCAGCGAATGAAGCACAAATTTCCCATTGAAAGTGAGTAATTGACTGGGTGTGCCATGGAAAGTTCAAGTGTCCTTATGCGTGCTGCAACTAAAAAAAGATTGGGAACCACTGCTATAGACTACTGACATTGTTAACAATAAGTTCTCTAACAGTCTCTTCATTTTTACCCAATGTGAGACCAATGATAAGAAAATGGCCTTTAGATTGGATAATTGATACAGGATGCTAAAAATGCAAAAATCTCAAAAATGATATTTTTTTTGCTAAGTTGACATATCTAATCATTTCCCTCTTAACTCAATGAAGCCTGGAGTCTTCTTGTTGATGAACAGCACAGTTCCTACAGATCTGTGAGAGGGTGCATCCTCTCTCAGATCTACTGCAACTGTCTCTCATCAAGCACACCCTTCATTGAACTGAACATGTGGTCCCTGAATGATCCAGACCTAAATTGGTGGCTTAAACTGCATAGGGAAAATATCTAAGAGGAGTCCATTGGTATTGCAGGATCAGGAACCTGAAATATCTCAAGACCTCATCTTAGTATATAGCATGTATGGAAAAACGTCCCTCTTTAGTGTTCGATAAAAAGAAATATTAAGTAAGTAAATTTTATCCATATTTGTAGGATGTTTTAGACCAATTGGATGACACATTAAGCAACTTTTTTAAAATGAACCCTGGAATGTGGGCTTTCATGTCCACATTGATGGATTTGACCTCCATGTACTTTCTGCTTAATGAACCCAGTATGAAATTCAAGTTTCCTTTTTCCTCACCCGACCCAGTCATGCATTTATTGTATGTGTCCCTTTCAGATCCTGAGTGTGATCTATATTTGGGTCAATATGGGCACTGCAACTATGTGTCAGAGAGGCATGCCTCCATCTTTTATGATCGAGTAAGTTGCAAAACACCCATTGAATTCAAAGTCACATTAATTATTGATTCATTGTGATATATATTTCTTTCTTGTGTGCATGCCAGACATCCTCCCTATATGAGCTTGTCAACTACAGTGAATTTGGTACCAAGGTCAATGATGTCCTCTATAACAGTGGAGTTTCACCTCAAACACGCAAGAATCAGAAGTCCTCAACTAAGACCCATCCTGTTGCAGCACAAGTATGTTGAAAGCAAAATATATTTTGCTTTTACCAGGAGCATTCAGGCTTCATGCCAGGTCTAATTTGAAGTCAAGCACACTCTAGCTTTTGAAATTTCATAATTTGGCTCATATACTCATGTGCTAACCTAAGAAAACATCCAAATACCTAAACAAATATATGTAGTAGCTAATCCCTCAAAACTGATAAATCTTCCATATTGAACATTCATTTTGCTAAAATGTGATGGATGTATGAGTAAATGTGACATTAGTCATATACTTTAACCATGTATTCTTTCATATCTCTATCAATATTCAGAAAACATAAACCTCTATATGGCACAGATGACTGCATACAGTTGCCATTTATGATGTTTCATGATTTGGGAAAAGTGAATAGGCCTTGTAGTAACTCAGGCAACTACAATCGTGACATGAATTGGGTGAAAAGGACTACTTTTTTTTATTATTCCTTCTTCCTTAACCCTTTGACAAGGATGCTGGTATATATATAGGGCTGACATCCTTCTGCCCTCCATGTATTCAATACGGGTGATCTTCTGGATGTTAAAAAAAACCCACTCCTCAAAGGGTTAACCATCTGGACCCTTTTCTGAATCATCTTGTCTATTTCTTATACAGAGTGTCTCAGCTTTTGTTGTGTTTTTTTGTGCAAAATTATGTTCTATTTGAGATATTTTTAACATTTTGGACCTAGTCAAGTGACCTATGCTTAATATAGATTTGTAAAATGGACATCTGATGTAAAATTTGATATTATGTATTCATATATCATACCATCAACCAAGATGAAACCAGCATCATGATTACTCTGCCACACTTACATCTTTTTGCCCTGCTTCATCAAAGGACTTTCTTAAGAGGATGTTACATTGGTCAGACACATGAATTTTGCCAGGAAATTAACCCTTTGGGGTCTATGCTTGAGTTATTTTGTGTTGGCCTCATGATGAAGGGTAGAAGAAACTTGGATGTCAGTGCTAGCACACTCAAAATACTCTGACCCCAAAGGATTAAGTAAAATACTGGTAGGGTTGGAAGCTTGAATCAAACCAGAATCAATCCACAAGATTGCATATTTTCCTTCCAATTCCTCTAGAGGAGGAAAATGAGTTGTTTTATTTTTTTTTTCTCAGTTGAACCCCAAACCACTGCTCAGTTGTTCAGTGGATGCCAAAAACGTGGCCCAAAGTTAAAAAATGAAGTTACAGCAAATATGAAAATTTTATAATTTTTTGTATCAGAGGATCCATACAGCACCAAAACATTTAAATTTCTGAGTTTCTCCCTTCCCAATTAATGGAATAAAAGTTTTGGCAATTTCACAACATGCACTGATGTAGTATTGAGGTTGTCAGACTCCTGGTAGTTGGTGTTTTGAAATAAAATAACCACTTAATGGTGAGAGAATGAAAGTGGCTCTAAACCAAAAATTTTTTGCAGATGGATAATCTTGATTATTAGAAAATGTTGTGCCAATAGGTGCCAAAGAGTTATTTTCTTAAAATGGGTCTCAGATATGTGTGTTATTGTGAAATGAAGATATTTGATGCCTGTTTGGCTAGAATGGCTAATATATTACCATCAGCAGCATCGTTTTGCAAGAGGAAATTTTGTCAATAGAAGCCATGCAATGCGTAACCCTATTATTGGGAATACCATGAAGCGTATAATATTTGGTGATTTGACTTCAAAATGAAAGGATAATTAGTTTCAAGAGGCTAAGGCAGTTCTTCCGATTAAGTACCTTTGCTTATTCCTGGCAAAAAGCTTTACTTTCTTGTATTTGTGCTTGAATTTTATGATGTGGAACAACTTTCTTATAATAATTAACATAGCCATACTCATAGTTTTTATTTCATTATGTTGTTCACCATATTCTCATGGGCTCTTGTTCGAGAAGCTTATTGCCAAGAACATGAGAAGGTACGTAATCAGAGGAGCTGCCTTAGTCCTCTAAATTAGTTTTCCCATCATTTTGAAGTCAAGGTGTTCAAAATTACACTCTTCATGGTATTCCCAATAATAGAGAAGGTGTATATTGCATGGCTTCTATTGACGAAATATTCTCATGCAAATGAACATTGCAGATGGAAATATAGTAGCCATTTTAACCAAACGGGCAGCTAGAATCATTATTTCACAATAGCATACATACATGAGACTCATTTTAAGAAGATAATTCTTTGGCACCTATTGGCACAAAATTTTCCAGTGATATATTAATAGATTATCCACCTGCAAAAAAAAATTTTTTTTACAAAAATGTGGTTGACAATGGCACATTTTACAAACAAACCTAATTGTTTACTAAGCTAATTACTGATAGAAGAAGTCACTTACCAGGACCTTTGTTTAGTCACTTCCATTCTCTCATGACAATGTGGCTATTTCATTTCTGCCAGGAAACTGACAACCTCAATACTGCATCAATGTGTGTTGTACAGTTTCCTAAACTTTAAGTAATTGTTCAGTTAATTGGGAAGGGGGAAACTCAGAAATTTAAATGTTTTGGTGCTGTTTGGACCTCTGATATGAAAGAATGTAGAAATGTCAATTTACTGTAGCTTCATTTTTCGACTCTTGGCGTCTTCTGAACCACTGTCTAATATTGATGTATGGGAAATATTGACTGACAGCTGCTACCCAGTACATCCCACCTCACTATATGTTGCCATCTACTTTTCAAAATTCAAACTTCAGGCTTAAATCACTGAAATTGACCCCCATTTTTATAACTGGGGATAGCACATGAACCTGGTAAACTGGGTTCCTGCCTCCATTCATCAGCCACACTTCTTTCACCACACGTTCATCTATTTTAAGTTAATGTGTGATGGCTTTTAACCCCTTCACTGGCAGATTTTCTTACATGCTACAATAGAAGCCAAGGAAATTTTGAGGTTTGCCACCGAAGGCTTGAAGTTGTGATTGTAGGGTTTAACATTTCATCATTTACATGTTCCTGTTTTCAGGTAAAGGATATCATTAGGAAGAAAATCAATAACCAACAAATAAGTGAGGAGGAATCTTCTATGGCTGCTCTGGGGAACAGGGTAAGTTAACAAAAATCACTATCAGGTTTGCTTTCCAGCTCAGGCAATTGATATGGTTTCTCTCCTCAAGGTATTATATGCATGTCGATGCCAAGGCCCACCATCAACACAGTTCCGCAAGACTGGGTGGGAGGGCTCAGCTGTGATGCACCATGGGAGTGTGGTGCAGTTTGGGTGTCTCTCATTTGTCTTCTCCATTCCTGAGACGGATGGCTGCTCATGAAAGTTCACCACTCAGGGGCCTCCTCCCGATATTCTGTGTACAAAACCAGACAACAAGGATCCTAGATCTTTCCTCCTCTGCACGCGCTCGGTTCATCCTCGTTGTACGGGTGATGCCTCATCCCAGATGTCGCCAAAGCATGGAAGAAAGAAATCCCCAGTTTTCACTTTTAGCTGACCCAAACTGAATCATGAATATAGATTTTCATTTTTTTCCTTTTGTATCAAATGAAGGCAATTAATATTGAGATGCAAAAACCTGTAGACTCAAGAATGCTGTATGGTGCATTATTGCATGACCTTGTGGAAACACATTACCATATGATGATGGTGGTATTTTATAACGTAAAATAAATGGTCAGGCATGTTGTCTGATACTGTATATGTTGAGCATAGAATCAGAAAAAGTGGAACTTCTACTTAAGGATGTCAAAGTTTCATTAAGCAAAAATATTTAAACTCAGAACTTCATAGCTTATGAAAATAAGGATTAGGCTACACAAGCCTTGAAATTCATTGCATGGTGTCACTTTTCACCATGGGCTATCATACTTGAACACTTTGACTGCCAAGGCTGACAATTGGTGGTGTTTATGACATACCAGCATGTCACAAGGCAGTCAACGTGGTAATTGAATTCAAACCTGAAGCATGGAATCAGAACCTGTGGGGTTCCAGTGAAAGACTTCAAGTTTTATTGGGCAAAAATACTCAAAAAACAAAACTTGACAGTTTGTGACATGAATACGAGACAGATATTGTGAAATGCATATATAAGAGTTTCACTTTCTTTGAACTTGCAGTTATATTCAGATTCTAATTTTTCTTAACATCATTGTCAACTGATCTTAAAAGTGATGCCATCACAGACTACACTGGGTCCAGAATATTGCTGAGACACAATTAAGGCACACAGGTGCACAGGACGCACAAGAGAACAACACTGGGATGCACACAATCAATAAATAACTTTGTCAATGAACATATAGATTTGGAAACAGACTCACACCCTTATTGTGGAATGTCTTTGGACACTTTGGTTATTCATTATCTTTGGTATTCATTATTTCAAATGCAAGTACTCAACCTGTATATGAATGGGCAGTGCAATGACAAAAGAAATGGCAGGAGTGACCATGCAGTGGTTGTGATAAAGTATGAATGTCATGTATACTTGTATTCAACATGAGTGCAACGAGAATCCCACTGAGTCTATCACAGAGAAAATAGAGATGATCATGTGTAGGGGAAACCACAAGCCTATGAAGAGAACTTGGAACACCAACAAATGTGGGATGAAATTCAGTGTCTTCTCTAAGTGGTGAGCTTTAACCCCAAAGAAATTTGTCTTTGAAGAATCCTTGTGATATAGTACTTCATTGAAAATTCTTCCTCAGTATCTCAAAATTCTGGCATTTTGACTATGTCCCAGAACCTTGAGAAGTCTGACAGCCATATGAGGTCAGGCCTGCACCCCAGGTGTGTAGGCATAATCAGCCTTGTTGTGCATGATCAACTCTTCATCGACGAAATAGAAACTGTCTGAGCGTGTCTCATATGGATGCTTCACCATCTCCTCAACTGGAAAAACGCAATGGAGTCATGATTCAGATAATTTAAGATTTTTTACATTTATGAGACAGGTAATGGAACTCACTCAAATCTTCTGACAAATGTGGGAATTCATAGATGTGTTCACATGTGTTGTGGCTGTTGGGAATGCAAAATCCAAATTCAAAGTCAAAGGTCTTGAGGTGATGCTCCCGGAAAAAATGCTTCTCGATCATCCTGAAATTATTCACTGGCTTCTCCCCCACAACAAACTCCACACTGGAAAACAGGAAAATTTCTCTGTTAATTCTGACCTAGTACATCAAGGGAAACCTGTACTCTTGTGGAAGTACATAGTGTCATGAACAGGAAAGCATAGAAGCTGCCAAAATAAAGAACTGAAACGGGCATGCCCATGCTATCATGCTGTTTTTCACAATCTCCTGAAACTTGTCTCTCCAATCAATAATGATTAAGGTTCATTCTGTCCATAATGAGCCAGTGAGAACATCATCACAGAACAGCAATCTAATCTGAAGTGAAACTTGACCTACTGCTGTGGTAAGATCAACAATATATGCAATTGCTGAGTAAATACACATTTTAGTCCACAGGTGACCTTATGACCTGATTGGAGATCTATCAAGGGTTAGGTGCTGCTTTAACATGAACATGCAAAAACTTGCACACAGTGACCATTCAAGTAACTGCTAAGTTTGAATGGGATAACGCAATACTCACGTTGCCCCAACAGTCTTGAGCTTGAGAAACTGCTTGGTGAACTGATACCGCACAAATCGTCCAGCATTTGGGTTATCAGTGTTCTCTGAATTCTCAGTCACAGGATTTCCTGGTTGAGGAGAGAAAAAAAAAGCAATCAATTTTGGGATGCCTTTCTGATTTCAAATCAATACCAAGTTGACATGACCCAATTACCAGCAGGAGGCTTGGCAATCTCAAACAGGATTGTCCCTGTATCCATATCACGAATCTTGAATCTGATGAAGTCAATGCCATAGACATTTGCATCTGCACTGCAAAGAAAGTCTACAACAGAAAGAAAGAATTCAAAATGTGACATTAGTGCATTAAGAAAGGGTTTCTCAGAAGGAAAACAAAGAGAACATCTTTTAAGCTTTCAATGGTGGTAACAAGCCCTATTTTTATGTGGTGCTACTTGTTTTCAGGTGTGTACTAACCTGTCAATAAGGTCTCATTAACTTACCTGGGGTATAACGATAGTTGCAACATGGGAGTAGATTTTTATTTTTACTTTGGATGAAACTCCTTTTCTTCCAGCACGAATTTTGGATAGGCTTGCAATTGTCCCAATTCTGCATTCTGAAGTGGCAATTTCATTATTAATCAATTCTTCAATGATGTCCAACGAGAAATGAAGAATATACTTATTGCATGGACAAAGAAGCACATGAAGCATCAGGCCACAATTGGCTGAAATACTGACAATTTTGCATAATGGAAACAAATACATTAAGAAATGCAGCAAATTCAAAAGGATTTTCTTCATAGCTTTCCTATACTATCATATCAATTAGTTATATAGTCAACACTTGATAAGGCTGGACGAACTTTAGTTTTTCAAACTTTTTTTTTTGCAGTTCCCAGCTGTCTGCCCATTCACATGCATGTTGAAAAGTTTGTCTATAATGACATTCTGTATATTGATGTTTGCTTTTACAAAGTAATTATTTTTTCCAAAATAACAAAAATGTTCAGTATCAGGAAGCTTAAAATCTGATGCACATGTCAGAACTACTTTTGTGCACTCCCGGAAAATCATATCTAAATTTGGCATGTACCACCCACTTAAGGGTGTGACTGCAGGGACAAAGGGAGCATCAGGTAATCAAAGTCTTCAACTTTCTTTACCTACTTACTTCTCAGTCAAAGGCTGGATGTTTAGCCTGATATTTTTCAAACATTGAGTGCTCTACAGACCATGGCTCAAAGAATTGTCCAGGAAAGAGTACAGCTGACAACCATTTGGGACTTTTTTTTTAAGGATGCCAGTTATATGATGATGATAATAATGACAGTGTTGGTGACTCGTCCGATTTTTACAACACCTACAGAAAGACATACGACTATGCATGCCCATTCTGGCACATGCATGCATCTTGGATGGCTTATTTTTTGTCGTATGACATGTGCTTCGACATAGCATTTTTTTACGAAAGGAAAACATGCTTTTTTGCAATAAACAACATTTTGCTTATCAGACTTCTTTTTCAGCAAAATGTGGGGAATTTCCAATTACAAATTTTCATTAAAACAAATTTTTTAGCCTGTCCCTTTGAGTTTGTTAAATCTATCATCTACTGTGTTGTAGTTAAATTGATCAAAGCTGAAAGGCACAACACTAGGGTGATACTCTTACTCAAAACCAATTTTTGGTTTCAAATCAAGAATCTAGTTAATGGCATTTATAGCCAATGACTTTCATTACTAAATCATCCTATCTTAACCCTTTTGCTCACCTTGTGCCTAAGGACAAATGCCAAAAAGGGAATAAAAATAGAATAAAATTATTTTGTGCCTATTTTACCCATAAATTCATTCACATGGTACTTGTCCTGAAGTAGAAAATCCATTCAAACATTGTCAGTCCAGCTTTAACCATGACAACCAATTAACTGTTTAATTACAGCAGATAATCATGAGAAAAAAAATTATTTAGAGATTGATTTGAACATTTGGTGATAATTGGTTTAGGGGAACAGGTTTTTAGACACTCACTCTTTGTGATGGCCTTAAGCCTCAGAACATCATCAGGAGTAACCCTGCTTTTGTTTAGCAGCTCCTCCTCAGTGACAGGATCTGAAAATAGTTCAATTCTTGGTTCATAATCCTGATATCAAATTCATATCCTAGGTTCATAATCCTGATATCAAATTCATATCCTAGGTTCATAATCCTGAAATCAAAAATTTAATAGGCAGGCAGAAGGTGATTAACAGACCTTTAACATGAAGAGATCTGTCCTTCCTGGACTTTGCATGTTTTGTTGATCCATGCATTTTTACTTTCTTTTCCAAGAGGGCCTAAGTCAGAGAAGTTGAGACTCACTGAATGCACCAAAATCTATAAGTAAAGAAAATCAGGCTCACACTACTTTCTGGAAAACCTTGATGCTATCAAATTGAAAATTATTCAAAAGCTTGTTTTGCTGGGAGCTGATTGGCACTCATGGAACATTGTATCTTCTGCATTTTTTTTTTTTACCAGGTTATAATATTCACAAGCTTAGTTCTCTATCAATAAGCAGTCTCAAATTCATTTGATAATGATTAATTAGTGACGTTAAGAATTGAATGTGTTCGCATATGCAGAAAACCTGGCTAATCAGCATCTCAGGTATCTCTCAAGTATTCAGACTATTTCTTGTGCATATTTGTCCTAACCAATCAATCCAATAAGTCAACTCTAAACTTCAAAGGCCTTTCATATCCTATTTATGTTTGATCAGGTAATTTGCAAAATTGTCCTTGAAATACCATGTGGGTCAAAGAAAACATTCCAAACTTTACACAGTTTAGATTGAACATCAATCAAGAATTTTGAAGGGAAATTCACAAGTTATGACATGTAATTTTAGATGATTTCACAAAAATTTCAAAGTACTTGGTTGCTTAGAACCAAAATCAAGAGCTTTTTCTCCAGAGTGTTAAACTTTTGGTGTCTAAGTATTTTGAATATGTTGACACTGTCAATCAGAGTGTTTTCCATCCCTTGGCATTAGACCAACACAAGATACCTCAGGCGCGGATGCCAAAGGGTTAAACGAGGGAGTACGTTAATGTATAAACCTTAGTTGCCTCCATGCAGAACTAGTCTCATCCTAGCTCAGTCCAACTGAGCTTGCAGGCATACAAATTGGATCATAAATTTAACATTTTGCTGAATGAAAGCTGTAACTTAGAACCAATACCATTAATATTTTTATGAAACCCCTTCAAGTTATAAGTGATACCCTATGAACTACCTGCTGACACCTTCCACAGTGTTCCATCTACAGCAGTGTTAAGTTTGGAAAAAATGTTATTGGGGGCCACCTGGTATATAAATGTCATAACAAATAAAGCTATGCCTAACAATACATATTACACTGTTGAACTTACTTGATGCTATAGACCCAGGCTTAAAAACCTGCAAGTTTCCACAACTACATACAGATTTTACATGATTTTATCTACACATCCCTAGTATTACATTCTAAAGGTTATGATTTCCATGATTTTTTTCTTGGTGTTAAAATTTCTTTCTGATTTTATTCTGAATTTATACTCTTTGGAATATAAGATAGTAACTGAAAGTTGCATAAAGAATAGATAAAATGTTCAAGAACGGTCTGATACAAGAATCCATGAAATAAAGGTGATACATGACTGCTCATGGCTATTCTTGTAAGTCTAGGGCAAGTTAAAAATAGTTAAACAGACCTTTCTAATTGGATGGGTCATAGGTGAATTTTTTTTGCTGAATTGAAATACTTTATTAACTAAACCCAATTAAACAAATTAATTAGCTTACTTATGCTCATTTTATTGATTTAATAATAATATCTGATTTCCAGAAGGATCAATTATCATACTGATTGCTAAATTGATTCAAATGAGGTGATATGTGCAGTGAATAGCAGAGACATGATTGACCTTAAGCATAAGGTGTCCATATGAACCATTCCCCATTTAAATGCATTGAATCTCAAGCCTAGCACAAGTGTATCTTGCCTTGAATCTATCTAGGATAGGTAAAAAATGTAGCATGTTAGCCAAGAGTCAGAACCATTTCTTCTGAGTGGGGAGTTTACATCTTCTGTTTCTCTTCAGTGACACATGGGAACCAAGCTCACTGGGGCTGCAAGGTATAAGCCCTGAGCCCCCCCCTCTAAAAATTTTCCTGAATTGCAATTACATTGCATAACATTTTGGGAAAATTATATCATGGAATTATAACAGCTACAACTGCACCCTGACTCAGCTACTCTGGAAATGGAATTATCATTCTGAATGCCACAAATGAGAGAGTAAACCATCTAGTTTTCTCTTGTGAAGAAATTCTTTTTGACCAATAAAAATTCACTGGTATAGATCAGGGTTTGGCAACCAACAACCTGCGGGCCAGATCTGGCCCATAAAGGGATTTTATTCAGAACTCCAAGTATACCAAGAAAAGAGTAGATTTTGAAATACTTCATTTATACTTTTCAAAAACTGATTCTTCCTCCTCTGGGCAGATCAGCATCACAACCTCAGCACTCAGGCCTGCCACAGAGCTGAGCTATGTTAATCCAGCCTGTAATTAGTGAATAGTAACCAACCCCTGTTATAGATCATCATTACTTCTGGGGATATGCTTATGACACAATATCACTTTCCAATGTTGCAAGAACAGGTTTTTTCCCTTGAACAACAGGTAGCATTCACATCTGTACATGTGACATCACATTATACAGGGTTTATTTACATTGAATATGGAAACAAATAGGTGTTCAAAAAGGATAACATAAGGTGGTAATATTTTAGTATGTGTCCACTTAAGGAATACACTCAACTTAGTCAATTCAGTCATGATCATCTCTCAGGGGGGTATGAAGGACAAGAGGTGGTTGCAATGAGGTTGACAAACCAAAGGAGGGGGGCATTGTCAAGGGCTATGTCCCTGACAACACCCTGAGGCCCCCCTATCTGCATACACCCCTGCTATCAGTATAGTATGTGTCCATCCCAAAGTTCAAATGAGGTCACAAATGAAGAAGTTCCCTATTTACTTAAACAAACTGGTGTGAAGTAGGTACTTCAGTACCTACTTCACACCAGTTTGTTTTTCTATGTGACATTGACCTGCACTTGGCCAAATATTGGTGGAGAGGGCTTCACAATGAGACCCTGTTCTGGGACGTCTTCGCTGAGATCAGACGGCAACACCCAGTGTGATGATCCATCCTGCACTCAAAAAACTTAGTTCAGTGCTTTTGATGTCTCTGAGTTCTTGATTGTTTTTTTTGGATGCAGTAAATGTGGGCTTAAGCAGACAGTCTTACCCATGTGGATGCATGCTATACCAATGGCAAAGGCATACACAGGGAGGGGAGGTTTGGCCCTTGAAAAGGCCTCCCCCCCTGCTCATCAGCTTCATTGCAAGCACCACCCCTTCTCATCCTGCGTAAGCCCCTGAGAGATAGTCATGCCTAAATTGACTAAGTTGACTGTATTCCTTAAGTGGACATATACTATACTATTACCCTTAAGGTATTACAATGGAAATAGTGACTTTTGGGAAATGAGAATGCATTGAAGGATGTGTGAACATAAAGCAAGAGATTGATACATTGAATGCATCAAATGCCATGCATTGAAAGGTGATGTAGTCATGAAAAATAGACCATGGAGATAGTATAATGGAGGTGTGGTCAGGTAACTTAAAGGATTTTGCTACACTGATGTTCAACAGGAAGGGATTTACAATACATGGTATTTGGGGCAGGAGAGTGGCTCTCTTGGCAGGGAGCCTAAGTTTTAACCCAATTAAGTCTGGCTTTTTTTTTCCCCTTTTTTTTAAGTGGAAGCCCTGGCAATAGGGAGGCCTGAGCACTTGACACTTCCATCTGAGTGTGTGAGACATTAAAGATCCCCTGCTGTGAAGGCCAAACCTTGGTAGCACATCCCCAGAGGATCCACAAGGGCCAAATTGAGTCTCCAAAAGATACTCATGTTAGCTGATGCTACATGGAGGGGGGGGGATTTTAGAAGAGGGGGAGTTGGCTGTCGTTCCTAAGTCAGGGCCCAGTGATAGGCCTAAGGCCTCTTACGTCCAGGACCGTGTCGTCTCGTGTTGCATGATATACTGAGGAGACAGCTGCCCATGTTACGTACAATCTACAGCCAGCTAATCTTTTCTTTGACGATTGCGGTGAGGCGGTGAGAATTATCACCATTGCATCTTTTCAGACGGGAGCTTCGAGTTTTCTCTCAACACTTATATTGTGTTTTAGAATTCATTTCCACATTCTAAATTCATTGTTTTCCATAGCCCTACCAGCAGAGACAACGTAACTATTTCCTTCATGAAAATATAGCTCTCGCTTGCGTGGCAATGTATGATGACACGTCAAAGCTAGTGGTCCGTGTTCGCCAATGTCAATAGAGTACATTTGATTGCAACCCCAGATCCATACTAAGATAGTGGAATGTTTTACCAACAATACAGTACTGTTATTAATCCCTGGATATCACGGCACGTTGACCCCCGAAAGCCGCCACATCTGATTGATTCTTGCCAACAGTGATGCCATTGAATTAAGTGGTTGGTATTTTCACTGAGTGATTTAATCGATGAATTTCGCTCAAAATACGCATTCTTCATTTGGAAAAAATCATTATTGTTCCATAAAACCGAACAAAAAGAATGCTATGGGATGGAACCTGCGAGTCTGGATGAATTACTTATTGGTTAAGACACACGGGTGGTCATGCGTGCCGGGAGCGTTTCGGCTTATCATGGCGCGGTCCTTGTCACTTCCATCAAAGCGAAACTGGGCCGCATAATTAACGGCCAGTTCTAAGAAACTACGAATCGCAATTGTTTTCTGTGCCCGTCGATTCTGTAGGCGTGAGGCTGTATGTTGTCTACTTGAAGTAGAAGCAATTGGGGATCATTGCTATAAGTTCTTTCTAATGTTGGTCTACGATTTCCATTCGAGTTCTAAGCCTAGGCCTACGTGATGAAGTACCGATTTGAAAACTGAGCGTCAGATCAGCCGTCATCTGCTGCACAACTTCTTCTTCTCATACTTATTCTGTTTCTTTTGTTTTCAGATCTGATTCTCATGTATCTTAGCGATAGGCCTATGTATTGTCTAGGCCTACAGGTCTACCTTACAAGGCCAGTGATGTGAATCTCATATAAGGAAGCAATATTGCCATTTTTTGAGGCCAGTGTGTGTTATTAGCCTACAGTGTGACTGAAGGAAAATGCCAGTACGAAAACAGGAGGCCCATAGGGCCCTGGAACTCCTGGAAGACTTCCACGAGAAGCTCACCCGCACTGAGGACCGTCAGCTTAGATTGGCCATTGAAAGGGTCATTCGAATTTTCAAATCCCGACTCTTCCAAGCCCTCCTAGACATCCAAGAGTTTTATGAACTAACTCTTCTCGATGATAGTAAGACCATCCAACAAAAGACAGCTGAAACACTTCAAATTGCTAGCAGATGGGAAGCTAATGTAGGACCCCTATCAGGTGGATCCCTTCTCATTGAGCAGAATGATAAGTATCACCATAGTGAAGGCACTGTAATGGGCATACCATCATCAGCCCAATTGAAGGATCTCTCAAGTGAAATGCCCCCTGTATCCCTCCCTAACAACAAGGCAGTGATCACTCCTCCTGAGCCATTGTTGGTCACTCATAGCCCCACTCGATCGCCTGAGTTCCAGCATACCACATCTGAAAAGTCCATGTCTGATGATGAGTGGGAATATATGGACATTGTTCTTGAGAGGGGTAGATCTGGCCTGGGTTTTTCCATTGCTGGAGGTACAGACAACCCACACGTAGACCGAGATCCTAGCATCTACATCACTAAGATCATTTCTGGTGGAGCAGCTGCTGAGGATAAAAGGATCCAAGTAAATGATATTATTGTCAAGGTGAATGACATGAATTTGGTCAATGTTACACATGCAGAAGCTGTGGATGCACTTAAGCGGGCAGGGAATATTGTTCATCTGATTATGAAACGTCCTCGATCAACACCTCCTACCCAGTATCAGATCCTTCAATTGGAATTAATCAAGGGAACAAAAGGCTTGGGCTTCAGCATTGCTGGTGGTATTGGGAACCAGCACATTCCAGGTGATAATGGGATCTATGTCACAAAGATTATGGATGGTGGAGCAGCCCATGCTGAAGGTAGACTTGCTGTTGGAGATAAATTGGTTGCTGTTTGCAACACTCCCTTGGGTGAAAGAAATCTTGAGAATGTCACACACGAAGAAGCAGTAGCTGCTTTGAAAAGTGTTCCCGATCAGGTCTTGATTCTTATTGCCAAACCGATCAATGGTCCAAGCCCAGTTGACACTCCATTGAAAGAAGAGCTGATTATTCCCATGACCCCTCCCAAGCTGATCACTGGAATAGGTCACCCACCCCCACTAGACACATCATCCACCCATGGAGAAGCTATGCCCATGGAAGACAGTCCCATTCGAGATACAGTTGACTCTCGAGAGCCAAGGAAGGTTATCCTGACCAAAGGACCTGGTGGCCTAGGTTTTAACATTGTTGGTGGTGAAGATGGAGAAGGGATCTTCATCTCATTTTTGTTGACTGGTGGAGTTGCAGATATTTCAGGAGCATTGAAGCGAGGTGATCAGATCCTGGCTGTCAATGGAATTGATCTCACACATGCAACACATGAAGAAGCAGCTCAAGCACTGAAAAGTGCACCTAATGGCCCTGTAGAAATGATTATTCAATATCGCCCTGAGGAATACAATCGATTTGAGGCCAAAATCCATGAACTCAGAGAGCAAATGATTTCATCTGGGACGCTCAAGCTCCCGCAAAAGAAATCCATATATGTTCGTGCGCTCTTTGACTATGATCCAAGGCAAGATGATGGTCTGCCCAGTCGTGGCCTGCCCTTCAAACATGGAGAGATCCTTCATGTAACGAATGCCTCAGATGATGAATGGTGGCAAGCCAAACGGGTGCGACTGTCGGGGGGAGACGTAGACATGGGCATTATTCCATCAAAGAAGCGCTGGGAGAGGAAAATGAGGGCAAGGGACAAGTCAGTCAAGTTCTCTGGAAAGAGCAACTCTTCGTCTTCCCTTTCTGGTCCTGGATCAAATTCCACTCTGGAGCGCAAGAAGAAAAACTTCAGCTTCACACGTAAATTCCCCTTCATGAAGAGCAAAGAGGAACGTGGTGATGATTTGTCTGACCAGGAATCTACAACACTAGCATCATCTGACGGTGATGGAGGCAGTGTACGTGATGAGAATTTCCCTGCCTATGAAGTTGTTGAACAGATTGAGATCTCTTATGCCAGACCAGTCATTATCTTGGGTCCTCTCAAGGATCGCATAAACGATGATCTCATATCGGAATACCCAGAGAAGTTTGGGTCCTGTGTGCCTCACACAACCCGACCCCAACGGGAATATGAGGTCGATGGCCGCGACTACCACTTTGTTGCCAGCCGGGAACAGATGGAAAAAGATATTCAAAACCATATGTTCATTGAGGCGGGTCAGTATAATGATAACTTGTATGGCACTTCAGTGTCATCAGTGAAGGAGGTGGCACAGAAAGGCAAGCACTGTATCTTGGACGTGAGTGGGAATGCTGTGAAACGCCTCCAGGTGGCCCAGCTTCATCCAATTGCTGTCTTCATCAAACCAAGCAGTCCTGAAGCCATTATGGAGTGGAACAAGCGGACAACAGAGGACCAAGCCAAGAAGATGTACGAGAAGGCTATGAAACTGGAACATGAATTCCAGGAGTATTTCACAGCCATGGTAGAGGGAGACACGCCCGAGGAGATCTATAACAAAGTCAAGAACGTGATATCGGAGCATGCCGGCCCCAAGATCTGGGTTCCAGCTCCAACCAAGGATGCCAAGCTCTCGTAGAAACATTCCGCAGGTTTTCCTCTCATCGTAGTCGAGGATCATGTTGGGTTCGTTCCATATCATGATGCAGTTAGGGCTTTGCAACAGGGAAATCTGCATTTTTTATTATCATAGGCATTATGAATATCCCCCTGTTATGAGAATGAGTTTGGTGAATGTTTCCAAACAAGTCAAGTTCAACTTGTCAATCCAGGTGCTGTCTGCTGGGCAGTCAAATCTGCAAGAGTTGTCCTCTTTTCTTTTGTGAGGGATTTCAGGTGTCGCTGACTCATGTTATCATCTATCTCTCACCTAATGAACTTCTTAAGCATAGCTTACTGGTATACAGAATCTCTTTAAGTTTCAGTAGGAATCATGGATCTTCCAGGTGACTTTGTATAATGAGCATTTATATTCATGTGCTCTTATTTTTTCTAATGAGCTGATTGCATACATTTATATGAGCATCATTCAATTTAATATTAGCATGGACAATGAGTGAGCGATTCCTGAAAAACTCTTTTCATATAGCAAATGTAGTTATAGATCATTCATTTCTCTTCTTCCTGCAACTTCCAAATGGAATAAATGGTTTCAAGGACTGCTTCTACTGTATTGTATCTATACAATGTTTTTGCAGTCTTGATTCCTTGAACATGGATTGAGTACCCTTTTGTGATAATCAAGTAAGTAGCAGCAGATTTTCCTTAAATTGGTTCTGAAGGTTGGGAATGTTGGTTGTGTTAGCTGTTGCCAAGTAATTAGTACATATAAATTGATGGCCTTCATAATAATTATGCCACATGTTTGGCTTTGGAATTAATTCAAAATACACTTAAATCCAGTATCCATCTTGGTATCAGAAATGCCATGTGATACAAGGACATGACAAACATGACCTTGTTTAAATGCCATATGGTGAGGAATTTTGGATGTTTCTTAAGCATTCACATGATTTTTTCATATATTATGATCACAGCAATAATATTATAGGATGAGGGTAAACTCAGGCAAGGGTTCTTGCGTGATTATTGGATAAGGGTACTCGATTGTGGTTCTCTCCCTTTCATGCTGTGACCTCATTGGGGAAATTTTTGGGACTGTTTTTCCTCTCACGCCCTTCTTTCATGGCGCTTCTGTGTTCCTGCACGACATCTGACCACAAGTGTAGAGATCTTTTTGATTTCCCTTGAGATTGTGCTTCACTGAATCTCAATATTTACTTATGAAGTTGTTCTCCATTCCCCGAATTTGCATGTCTTGTCCCGTCAAAATATTTATTTGCATTCGTTTTCCTTGCATTGCCCTATCAGAGCCTTGTATTTTTTATTACAACACATATTGCTGTCCCCCTCCCCCATGTGTCAGTTTACGTCTCGCAAAACGTTTTTGTTGCTCATTGTGAGGCTTCCCATCTCAGCGTAATGTGACCAGCGGTCTGTCAGTTCTTGTTTTGACATGCAAATCCTGGAGTCGCTGCTGGGCTTTGTTGTTTAGCCTCTATCACCCTTCATGGTTAAGTCATGAATAAAATGAGAAAGACTAATATGCTCAACCAGAGTTTTCATTGATTGCATAATTCCTGGAATCGTGATTGTGTGAATCCTCGCAACTGTCATCCGGTGCTGCTTCTTCTCTTAATGCATTTTCTCACAGACGAAGAACGTGAGACTTCTCGTTCGTCGTGTTCGGATCAGTTGCAGCGATATCTCCCGAAGAACCTCACCGAACCCTGAACCTTGTTAGGAACCCGGCTACGTGCAACGGTTCACCCCCGGAAGGAGGAATTATTATTTATGAATGCAGAATGGCCATCGCCAGCGAGCCATTTACCCCAGAGAGAGAACATCAGCGGGAGAAGGAAGATAGAGCCTCGGCGGAGGAAAGAATTAGGGAGAGAGGGGTTGATGCATTCTGGATGGGCCTCCCCGCATTGCACATGCTCGACGATCCCTTCCATCCCGAAACGAGGAGGCTGCCGTGCCCATCCCTGATCTCCGTCGATCGATGAGGCAGATGAATGCGAAAAACAAGGGCACGGGATCGTATGAATTCCTTAAATCCAGACTCCGTCTGCTAATAGATGAAACTTATCGATCCCATTCCATGCGAGGCTTTCGTCGGATTCGTTACGATGAATATTCATTCCGTTCCTTCGTCTTAGTCGGCATGACGTCTCGAGGGCTTGGCACCGAGCGTTGTGCTTGTCATCACTCGTCGCAAAATAGGAATGCTGCGCGACGTCATTCGAATACCGGTTAGAAGAATCGACGGAGATGATTTTGGACCAACCGGAGGCGCGACTGCCGCCGAGTCTTCGGACGGTCGAATGTTTCCGGCTTCGTTAAATGAGGTTCCCCAGACCGTAGTGGGATCGAAGGCCGCTTAGCCAACGATCGTCGAGCAGACTGCAAGACCATCTGGATGTTCTCTCACCGGATCCATCTGTCCGCTACCTTCTTGCCACTTTACTCGGACGTTCGTCGTGGGAACCGGAAAGGGAGAGAATAGTTGCGGGCGTTTCACACTTTGCATGTCCTTCGCGTGGATGCTCGAGCAGACGCACGCTTGCACACGCACGTCTATTTACATCCGCGGGTTTTCACAAAACCCAAGGCTTGCGTGTGGAATTGGGATCAGGTCGATCCGGGACGTCCGCACGCATGCATATGAGGAGGGGAGAAGAAGTTCGTTCGGTGCGTGGAAATGCTGTCGTATATGTAATTATTATATGCGAAGAGATGCATTGGCATTCCATCGGCACCGATGGAGACGCAGGTACGAACGCACAACATGCAAACATGAAAATCTTCCTTCCTGCTTGCATTTCGATATCATTTTTATCAGGCATTTATATATCGCACGCGTCACACGCAAGAGACGAAGAGCGTGAAACGGCCTTTAGGACCTGTGAATCGTCAAATTATAAGCGAGAATAGCGGATCGCTAAAGAATAGCGAGAACGTGGTAGAACTCCATACCGAATTGTGAAATAGGGAAACGGTGACGACTAGTTGCAGATTCAACCCCCCCTCCTCAAAAAAAAACTGCAAGTTGCTACACTTGAGAAACAGAAAAATCCGAAGGGGGCTTTTTTTTTGACGTCGATCGATACCTTCTTGAATGTTTGACAGTAGACCTAAGCACTGATGTGACTCAAATTAAACCTTAAATTTTTTTTTCCATATTCAAGAGAAATAGCTCAATTGTGTGCATTCGATTTGCCGAAGTTTGGAGAAACGAAGGGAATCGAAACTGGTGAGCTCTTAATGGATAGTCACGATTAACGTGAGAAACACACCTTTACTCGATACGTTCTATTTGGGAAAAAAGTAATACTTTAAATGAAAGAGGTCGAAAGTTGTGGTGGCTGTCACCCCTAATGCGTGACGCCCATGATGATATGCCATTCTGAGCCATAAAAACTTTGGTATACTTTTCATCTACTTTTAAAAGACTTTTCGAATTCGAAATAGTCTTTTCCATTCTTGATTCACTCCTTCATTCGTGATATATTTGTGAGATGTGGTCTCGATGATAATAGAAATTAGCTGGGCGGCAACACTCTCGAACTTCTCGAGGTTGTTTTGAAATTTTCAATGCTTGGTTTGAACCGAACGCCTTCATATCTTTATGTAAATATATTCACATTTCCGCCCAATAGATGGCCAGCGTAGCAGCCGCAGACCGACTTAATTTTGCAAAAAATCTCAATTTCGTTGATGGGACATTTTAGCAAGAAAAAAGAAACACATTTCCACGAAGCACCACAGCATTAAAAAAGAAAAGAAGAAAGTCCCGTCACATTTCCATGCTTCGATTGACTAGAGCGAATTATTTTTAAAGGTACGTCTAAAGAATGACGGTTGCTGATTTATGCCCACTTTTCAAACTTTTCTGTGCAAACGCTACCTACCGAATTTCCGATACCAGAGCGTTTCGTGACGGAACCTCGTTCCATCGGGACTCGACTGCGCCAAGAGTTTTTTTTGGGACTCGCGGCCTCCATAGTCGAGCCACTTGGTTGAAGTGGAGGACAGGAGGAGGAGAGGTGGAGCATGCGATGGAACGCGATGCTGCCGTCGCCTTCGTAGGTCCAGTCGAGGCTACAAGGACTCCTCATCCTTTCAAGAAAGTCGAAAATTTGCCTTGCAAATTCGTTGGAAGCCAGAGCTTCATTTCGGTCTGGAGGTGCTCCTAAAATGGGGGAATTAAAAACTCCCTTTTCGGATTTATTATTATTTATTATTAGCATTTTTTTTTTGTACCAGCCTTGGTACCAGTAGGCAGTATTTCTCTGGTGGGAAAACTGACTTGCCGGCAACGTTTCCCATCTTTTTCATCTTTTTGCATGGAATGCTCTCGCCGAGCTTTCAAAGAGAAGAAAGCGGCATTCATCGGTCGTTATTGCCTGTACCAACGCCATCGAAAAGCATGGGATCGCAGCGTCTCGCCTCTCCAGCGACAAAACTTTCGAATCTAAATCGGAGGGAGGAAATCGATCGTCTCAAATTTCATTATAAATGGATGCGAAGGACGGATTTAACACCGTTTCCCATTTGCTGCTTGCGTCCGGGCAGCTGTCGAAAGTGAGATTAAAGCAGAATTTGCCTTTCAAAATTCTGTCTGGGTTTTAAAGCCAGGCAAGAGTGGCCACTCCGGTACCAGGCCTTAATTCCGCCGCTCATGCACGGGACGAAACAAAACGCTCTTGGCGCGGAAGCTCTCGATGAATCATAGCGGAAACACGCATATGACCTCGCTCTCCATGCCGATAGGCATCAGCATTCCCTCGCCGTCAGGAGGGAGGGAAAGAAGGAGAGAGGGAGGGAAAGGAGGAAACGAGGAAGGGAACGAAGGTGGGCTTCCTGGCCTTCGTCCTGTTGGTCACAATAGGAACAAGGACACGGTGACGATGCTTAGAAATGTTTCGGTCGGGTCAGAATCTCCAGCATTTTTGCTGCTATGGGTATCGATAAAAGTTTTTTCCAGGATGACGAAGGCAGCTCAACTTTCATTGCATTTGCCGAAGGCTTTCCCCCCCGCCCCCCCCTGATCAGTTTTACCTATAAAGTACAATTTTTACTGAACTCAGTACTCTGACGGCGAGAGCATTCCATGCAAAAAGATGAAAAAGATGGGAAACGTTGCCGGCAAGTCAGTTTTCCCACCAGAGAAATACTGCCTACTGGTACCAAGGCTGGTACAAAAAAAAAATGCTAATAATAAACTCATTTATATCTGTTGCTCCTAATTCATCGATCAAGGATGAGATGCTTACAAGGATGGGGCGCCAGTTGGACCCCAATCGGCGTTTCCGCGTTTCTTGCGTGGAAAAACCTATTTTTGCGGAGAGCAGAAGTTGAACGAGTCGGTCTCACGCGGGAGTTTTTCATCGTTTCTCTCACGAACTTCCGGAGTGACGTCACACGCCGACCGACCCTAACCGTGAGAGACGTGCACGAGCATCACGGCTACCTCCGATCTCGGTTGCCCCGGATTTCAATGCGGACTCGGAATCCGAGGTCGTTGACGATCTGGCCGGCTGTGATTGACAGCGGGAGGGTGACCCGGTGAAGGAACGGTCGGGCGGTGCCGTCCGATTGGCCCGCTTGGAGTCCACGAACCTTCCCTCATTGGAGTTCACTCCCACCGTGCGCCATCTTGTGTGCGTCCTGGCCGCAACACTCATCCGCGGAATTTCCCTCTTTTTCGCCTCTGTCGAACGCCTCCGACGACAGGTACGTTTGATCCACGTCTCCGCGAAATGGTCGCGAACGTCTTTCGACCCGTTTTCCCCCGACGGCGCGATGAGGCGAAGAATTTCACAACGGCAGCGCTCTATGCGACCGTCTCGGTAATGACAGATGTGGGTCCGGGTCCGATAGGTCGCGTCCTAAGTTAGGCCTCTCGGCTAGGTATCGCTACTTGTATTCTTCCCTACAGAGCCAAACCGATGTAGCTCGTCTCGACTGAGCCTTCAATGCACCTTCAATAAACTTTATCTCGCAGAAGCAGGCCTGATCTCAATGCCAAAGAAGGACGAAACGGGTCGATGGGCGACTTGATGACGTCGGCCAGCATAGGTTAAATGGGGCAACGGCCTAAACCAAGGCGAGGCTCATGACATATTCAGTCCCTAAATGACCGACCTTGTGGCATCATCTTATGAGTGGACATGGGCCTATGGGCTAGGCCAAGTTTGGCTTCCACGGCAAAAGAAAATGTATCGATTTTGCCTTTCATGCAGTCTTTTTTGTGGGTGCCACTCTGGCGTGAAAGAGAAGTGCACGGACCTAAAGTAGGATCTCCATAATGTCGGGCACATTTCAAAGCTGAGCCCTTGATTATTCAAAACTTTTTCTCGAAAACAAGATGCCGAAATTTCAAAATTTATAGTAATCAAATATAGAAACATGATGCATGCTGTATTGTAAAGAAAATAAGCCATGAATGGAGGAAAATGAAGGAATAGAAAATAAAAAAAACATGCCATACTACAAGGACTGGAATTTCAGGATACCCTGTACATGTATAGGTTCATTATGTAAAAAGAATTGAATCTGTTGGCAATAATCATGAGGCTGAGGATCTCATGTCACCCCAAGGCATGGAGGACACCAGCATTTGTTTTCCTTTGTGGAACTTGAAGCAAATGGAGACTAATGGCAGCTGTTTGGGAGAGTGCATGAGAAAGCCTTTCTTGCAGTTGATCAGTGAATCTGAACAGGCTATTGGCCATTATTAGTTGATCAGCCAATAGGAACTTGATTCTGTTTAGCCATGTTTGAGTTGCTGCTTATAACTATTGCTGTTGTTCTGATGTATCCTCAGCTAAAGTGTTTCCAGATTTCAAGGGACAAGGTTTCAGCTGTTGAGAAACAGATCAGTGATGCTTTCAATAACAAAAACATCTTGCCCTTGTAAGCAATGTGCCATAATATAGTTTAACTACACTTTTTTTATTGGGGAGGTTTATACATTTTTACTCATAGGAGTCCAGGATATTTAGGTAATAGCACTTCTAAACTGGTTCACTGTCAATCCCAACTGAATGGGAGGTTTTCTCATGAATAGTTCCTCCTTTGATATTATGGCCAATTATTATGACCACTTCAACAGTCATGACGTTACTTAGGTGCCAGCGATTACTGAATTAATCCAAGTAAATCCAAGCAAGAGGTTGCAATCAATACCATGCTCTAATAATATGATTGTATTATTGATAATGTTGCAAATTAAAATATTTCATTATTTCCTGTTCTATTACTTGAAATTATTTTGAGACTACAACAATGACATGAAATCATTTAAAATATTTTGGTTGCACTGTATTTATTGATTAATTTCTCACAGGATGGAGGAGGTTCAAGACAGCTCAGAGAGTATAGCTGACATTCAGAACTATTTGAATGATTTTGGCAAGGATATTCAGCCAAAAAAGAAGCAAAGAGGTGAGATGCAAGATGTGAAGATCAGAGCTGGTAAGTGCAAACTAGGAAAAGTCAGTGGTGGAATTTGAGTTCTCTGTGACTGAAAATAAATGTTTGCATGTCTTCCCCTTAGTATCTCAAGATAGTGCATCTGGACAAGAGACCACTACATATATAGTGGATCAGAATGGACAATATATCGCCCTGCCATCGGGTCAGTGTTTATGTCTTCATGTGGCTGGTGTGGCATTTCATGTTGTCCTGCCACTTGTGGGTGAACCACATGATGATGTATCTTCTTTTCATGATTGAATGATGCTGTTGATGGGTCTGAACAGATGAGGGGCAAGGCTCTGATGATGAGGAAGGGAAGACAGCTGAGATTGTCATTGGTGATCCTCTTCCTTCCACTTCCTTTGTCACAGTACAGCCATCCACTTCCTCTGAGGTAATTTACACTCCTCAGGTTGCTCACTTGTTACTTTTTGAGTAATGGTATTTTGAGCCATAATGGCCATAAATGATATGAGTTAGATGATCCCTTTGTTCTTCATGACTACTTTCAGAACCTGGATGTTCAAGCAGAGACCAGTGAAGGATCAGGAAATCAGGACAACCAAGTACTTCTTGGAACTGGGAATGACAACTACCAGACTGTGACCCTTGTTGCAAGTGAAGGGAACCCAAATGAACTTAGCTATGTCCTCATAGTTCAGCAGGTACCTCATCCTTCTTTGGCTACTCTTGGTCTTGGTCTCACTGTTTGCACTTCAAAACTGAGTGTCTTTCTTTTGTAGCCTGAAGAAGGTGAAAGTGAAGGAATGGAGGGTAATCAGGACATGACAGTGTATGACTTCAATGAGGGGGAAGAGATGCCTGAGGAAGGGGATGGTGCCACCTCTGAGGTTGAAGATGACAAAAGCAAGGTCTTCAAACTCATCCCAAAGAAGAGTCAGACTGTCACTCAGGCTCACATGTGTAACTACTGCAACTACGTCAGCCCTAAACGGTAGGATGCCTCAATGGGGAATTCCTGGGTGTCTCAATGCTTCACAATCCCTCTGAAGAAATTTGTTTATTTTACCAGAGTTAATAAATCTTGCCTTTCAGTATTTGGAGAACTTCCATAATATGAATAGTCATTTAGGTCAGGCTCACCATTTTTCTCCCATCTTTAGGTACCTGTTGTCGAGACACATGAAGTCGCATTCTGAGGAACGACCCCACAAGTGCAGCGTGTGTGAGCGAGGCTTCAAGACTCTGGCCAGCCTCCAGAACCATGTCAACACCCACACCGGTATCAAGCCCCACCCTTGCAAGTATTGTGAAGCATCCTTCACAACCTCTGGTATGCCACTGATATCATGTAGGGTGGTCATTAGAGAATATGCGACTGAGGAGGCTGATGGTTTTTCAATTATTTTTTATAGGGGAGTTGGTGAGACATATCCGGTATCGTCACACAATGGAAAAGCCCCACAAGTGCCCTACGTGTGACTACTCTAGCGTGGAACTTAGTAAACTGAAGCGGCACATCAGGGCTCACACAGGCGAGCGACCCTATCAAGTGAGTGTAACTGATATTGTGGTGAAGTTTTTCAATATATTCCTTTATAAGGGTAATCAAGCTTTTTGAGAAAAGGATTGAAACTTTCTCATTAACTTAGTTGTGGGCTACTTAAAAGTCATGTTTCAGCTGGAATGAAAGCTGATGTGGGAAATTCTTTTGTCATTGCCATATCTAGTTTGTTTTTTCATTTAAGATCTTGTAGATGATGCAGATGAGTGGAGTACCTCACTTCAGTGCTTCAGTATTGTTTGCTTTTTTCTGGGAACAGTGCCCTCATTGTACGTATGCCAGTCCTGATACCTTCAAGCTGAAGAGACACCTCCGCATTCACACGGGTGAAAAACCATATGAGTGTGATGTCTGTCATGCACGCTTCACGCAATCAAACAGCCTCAAGGCCCATCGTCTAATCCATACTGGTTAGCTGAGAGACTATTAAGTTGGTTTTGAATCAAGATGGGTGCTTCATTGGAACTTTTGTTCCCATCTCCCATTTCCAGCTGGTGACAAGCCTGTGTTTCAGTGCGAGCTGTGCCCGGCCACCTGTGGCCGGAAGACAGATCTTCGTATCCATGTCCAGAAGCTCCATACTTCCGACAGACCTCTTAAGTGTAAACGCTGTGGCAAGAGCTTCCCTGATCGGTACTCTTTCAAGGTATGCCTTTGTTTTTTCTTTTGTGTCTTTGTTTTCAAAGAATGTTTTCTAATAGTGACTAATTCTTCTTGTAGCTGCACACCAAAACCCATGAGGGTGAGAAGTGTTTCAAATGTGAGCTGTGTCCATATGCATCAGTTTCACAACGTCATCTTGAGTCACATATGCTGGTGCACACAGACCAGAAACCATTCCACTGTGACCGTTGTGGCCAGGTTTGGATTCATATTTGCCATTTCAGTGATGTAGTTATGGGACATATTACTCATCATCTTGTTTCTGTAGAACTTCAGGCAGAAGCAGCTGTTGAAGCGACACATGAACCTGTACCACAATCCCCAGTACATACCACCTGCACCTAAGGAGAAGAGTCATCAGTGCCCAGAGTGTAAACGCATGTTCCGGCATAAAGGGAACCTCATCCGCCACATGTCACTCCATGATCCAGAATCCTCAGCCCAAGAAAAGGCTCTTGCCCTTCGTATGGGCAGACAGAAGCGAATTGTACGTTTTCCCAATTAAAAGTAAACATAAAAAACATGCAAAGCTCATATAGGGGGGGTCAAAACTACTCAATGGGTGATGTTAAGAGAAGCAATAAACTTCCCTTGATGCAATACCTGTATTAAATCCTTAATGTAGCTAAGAGTTGCTTCAGCTATCATTCTTACAGCTTTCCAAATGTTTATTGACTCCTGTGTAAAGTGAAATCCTCTGAGCAGGAAGTTGGGAAATGAAAATCTTAGGTGTGGCTTTTAGTGAACTGATGTCCAAGATGGACACACATTTATCTTTTGGCCCCTCTCAATTTTCTCAAACATAAGTCCAAAAGAGATTGCCTATTAAAGAGGTAAAGCCTTGACAAATATGTGCCAGGAACATGACAATTTCTTGAATCAAGAAATTAAAGCTTAACCCTTTAGCTGTCGATTGAGTATTGGTTTAGGGGTTTAAAAAAGTCTAATTATGTAGCTAAGGGTCATAAATAAGTGTAACCCTTTTGCTGTGAAGCGAAATGGTTAAGGAAATTTTTTGTTTGCCCTTTGAGACTCTAATGATATTCATTGTACATCAAACAAGCAGTCTTATGTGTACTAGCTTGACGTACAACCTACATTGTTATAGTCTTGAAAGAGTTAAATCACAAGTCACTTTCCTTACAGGGTTGAGTTTAGTGTATGTTCCATTCCATGTAATGTTCAGAGACATTTATATACAATGTGTTTGAGCAGATGGAGAGCAGTGGCATGCAGCTGAGTGGAGAAGGCTTGGTTTCAGTGCAAGGTGGTGATGGGCAACAGTATGTTGTGCTGGAAGTGATCCAGGTCCAGGATAGTGAAGGGAACGATCAGACATTGGCTGTAGTTGCAGACAAGCCACTTGCTTCAGGTCAGAGTCAGCGATCCGACACTCCTATGGATCAGGAAGAAGAAGATGAAGATGAAGACAATGAGCATGAGGATCTCATGAGTGGAGAGGATTCTCTTGGAGACTCTCTCATCTCAGGAGGTTAGGAAAATTCTGCATTCCTTTTTTTTTCTTCATGTTTTTCCATAGCTTGTGTGTGCAAGTTTTTATATGCTTTCATGACAGATGTGTCAAGTCTGAGTGACAGCATGAGTGAAGGCATGGGGAAGCAGGAACGGCACCTGAGCAGTGCAGCTGTTGAGTCAAATCTAGCTCTAAGGCGGGAAGATCAGGACACTAAAAAGGACATGGAAAACTGCTTTGGATTTGATGTGAGTGCATCATTGGTTATTTCACCTGCACTCTGCTGGACCCTCATGTTTTTTTTAATTATTATTCATGGATCACAGGAGGAAGAAGAAGATGAAGATGAGGATGAGGATGAAGATGCCTTAGGAGCTGGTGAAGATCTCTAAGCCTGGCCTTTCATTTGGCTGCCAGAAATTAAAACCAAAAGTCCATGAAATAGCATACAGAAGCATTGACTTCTTCCATGAAGAAAGATTCCTCATACGGTGGAACACTCGTACATTATTCGTGTTATCTACCTTCTCCTTTCTGTTTCTCATGATGTGGTATGTTTTGCTTGGTTATAAAATACCTGTATCTTGTACTAATGTCTCCTTCTGAACTCAAGTCATGGGTTTATTTAGCAAGCAAGCATCAAAACACCTTCAGCTAATTACAATCACATGCAAAAAAGATACAGTAGTCTCAGCTCTCATCTTCATTGGTAACTTCCTGGAAAAAAAAAAAACAAGGGCTTCAGGTCCATCTTTCTGTCAATCTTGCTTCTACACATGTCATGGCCATATGATATAGCCTGCTTGTAGAACAATGGCTAAACATTTTACCTGAAGCATTTCAGCCATGGCCTTGGCCTCATTAACAATGAGTTCCATTGCAGCCTTTTCCTTTTCCAGTTCATGTACCTTCTCCCAGAGTTCTTCATTCTCTTTGAGTGCCTCATCAAGGGCTTTTCTGCGCTCCTCAGCCAATTTCTTCCAATACTCCAAGCTGGGTTCCTCTGCATTAGAACAGCGAGCATAACATAACATTATGAGCATAACAGTGTAGTTTCAAGAATATAAGAAGGTTCCTTCATTTAGCAAACCTGAAGTTATGAATTCAGAAGAATCCTGCTGTTTCTCTTGAGGCAAAGCCTCTGTCTGTATGGTCTTGTGATGCCATTTCTTCACTCTGCATGGACACATTCCATTAGATAGCAGATGCAAGTCATATAATGAAAATAACTATGGACTAAACTCACTTCAAATCACACTCAGGTTCATTTTCATACAATGTTGGCTGTGTGGACCTTCTCCCACCAACAAGGACTTTGCTGTTGTCAGATGAGGGTTGGAGTTGTCTCAAACCAAGTCCATGGGGCTTGTGTTCCTTTGTTTCCTATAAAAATTAAAATGAGAGGATGCTAAGAAGCTGCAAATGCACATGTGTGAATTTACATGGCATAAATTTATGAAACATACTTGTTTTTCACAAATATGACTTCTTTCCTTATGACCAAATGGAGTATCCTCTGTCATCTGGGGTTGTATATTCTCACTATTTCGCTTGCTCCTCCTGCCCATCCTTTAGCATAAATTTAAAAAAACTCCAACCACCTAAGTCTACAAGAGGATTCTGATTTATAACCTCTTCTCTTATTTTCTGTACACTCCCACTTACAATCAATACAGTGTTCCCCCACCTGGAGAAAACAAAAAATCCTTCACTTCCTAGACAACATGACAAAAAGACAAAGAAAGTTGATACAACTTTGAATTGAAGAGGAAACAATTGCTATCCCAATCATGAACTGCATTCATATACCAGGTATGGCAAGACCAAGGACTTTTATTCAATACCTTTCCACTGTCACTTAACCCTTTGGAATCCACTGGTGGACCTAGTTCAACAATTTCCATAGCGTTACAGATCAAGTGGACTGGGTAGGGTTAAGCTATTTTCCTGAACTTTTACAAGGTGTAGATGAGAAAATTTCCAAAATATATTCTGAATTCCTTCTGATTTCATTGCTTCAATACAAGACTGTGAGCAATGATTCAAAACCAGCTTTGTAATGAAAATGGACAAGACTACACATTAGTAAAGTAGTGGAGGACACATCTAAGCTCTCTGTATTCACATCATCCAGGCAACATTCAACTCCTCTTCCATTAAAATTCATTTTTTTAGCAGGCCTTTCCTTGCAGATTGTTTGCAGCAATTTATTACAATTGATGGCAGATAAATCAATAAGCATTGAAATAGAGACATTAAAAAAAAAGTTTACTCTGGTTTTCCCTCCGTTTTCATTGAAGAATTAAACACTAAGAAGGGATTGGAGTTCCCTCTTCATGTTCTATATCTTTTGAATAGTTGACCATGGCTTTGCTTTTGCAGTATCAATTTGAATGAAACTTCAAGAGTCTTAAAGAACAAATATATATATATCCATGCACAATGCAAGTTTCATGAAAGTAGCTCTGACGAAAAACAAGATGCACAAATAAGAAGTTGTTGGTCCTTTTTTTTCCATGCCCAATATAACTAACAAGGAACACTAACCAAGTGATAATTTCCTATTTTGACCAAACTTTGGTCATTGAAAGCACTCTCAAAACAAAGTCATGCTGCACCAAAACTTGTGGCAAAGAAACAGGTTTAAGCTCATAATTGGCTTTCTCAGTTTTCTGCATGGTCCATATGACATGTTCTTGTATTCACTCATTCTTGTCCAGTTCCTTTCCCATTCCTTGAGTGATCCTTGTTCTTTAGATCTGATCAGAGGCGATAATCATCAAAATGGTGCAAATTAACCAGCAATACAGAGACATTATTGAATTCCAATGAAATTAAGCTGCAGGATCAACTTCAAGAAAGGTCTTTCTCTAATCACTTCCTCCTCCTCTATCAGGTGTCACAATTTTCCATTATTGTCCAGTATCCATACAGGGTTGCTATAAAGTCACCACCCTGTTTTGATTCGCCATAACTTTTTAAGAGACAGTCTGATGAAGCTGTTATTTTACAGAGAGCATACATAGATCATATGGCAACCTGCATTACCTATTGTCACCAGGGCCAATAGAACAATTTCTGTCTATTTTTTTATGTATATACTATATCACATCACTCTACCCTTTTTCTTTTCTTTTTTTTTAAAGGGGATTTCATGTAACAAAAAAAAAAATAAAAAGGTCATTGAGCAAAAAAGAATAGTTGTATGGTTAGAGATCACCATGAAACTTTATTTCACCATATCCTTTGAAAGTACTCTTGGACACAGCTACTGTTAGCCAAACAGACACATTGACCTAAAAGGTATATTTCTTTCATACCTGAAAAATGGTGTAGATAGAGGGCGTTGCTGTTGCCTGCAACACACTATAGGAATGCACATCTTGTTGCATACAAAGAAATATTTTCTACTCATGATCCTCTCTGGCAAATATCAGCTGCATCGGGCAGTCCCTTGAAAAGTTATAGCAGATCAAAATAGGGTGGTGACTTCACAGCAACTCTGTATGTACAATACTGAAGAAGAGTAAAACTATCTACACCTGTTAATTACAATCATGATATCTGATAGAGGAGGAAGGAGTCATTAGAGAAAGACTTATTTTGAAGGTGATCCTTCAGCTCATTCTCATGGGAATTGATCAGTGTCTCTGGATCTTTGCTTGCTCCATCAGCTTCATTGAGCATCTTCAACACATTTTTCAGGTTAATTTACAAAATTCTGATAATCGTCTTTGATTAGATTTAAAAACAAGGATCACTCAAGGAATGGGAAAGGAACTTGACAAGAATGAGCGAATACAAGAATATGTCATACGGACTTGAATCCATGCTGAAAATTTAAAAAGCCAGTTATAAACCTAAACCTGTTTCTTTGCTGCAAGTTTTGGTGCAGTGTGACTTTGTTTTGAGAGTGCTTTTTCAATGACTACAATTTGGACTAATTCAGAAATTATCACTTGGGTAGTGTCACTTGTAAGAAGTTAAACTCAGAGCAAACCTGATAGTCCAGTGCCCAATAAACAAGACAAAATATGACACTGTATACAGTTGACTAGAAATTAAAGTTCTAGACATACCAACTTTTTACACCATGCATGAAAATACCATTACATAGAAACATCATGGAAGATGAGGAATAACTAAAGGGTGGCCCAAATAATAGTTCAGATTTTTAACTGCTTGTCATTTCCAATAAAATGAAATAAACATTCCATCCTTGCATAATATATACGACAAATGTTTCCTGTGTCATTATGATTAATTTAACTGAAATTAATCATATGATTGTGAAGAAGTAAACATTACAAATGTTGAGTGTGGGTAAAAATACCCATTTGGAAGGGCCAAAATAATAAGCACTGATACTATCTAGAATGCATAAAGTAATGGAAAGTAAAAAAGTATTAATTGGATTCTGTAAAAACAAATATGAAAGTATTCACCTTAGGGTTACCATGAGCTGTTTTCAGGGTTTTAATTACTGAACGTGCAAGAAAAATAAAGTGCCAGTTAAAGCATTGCAGTACACCATATTTTCATCATACTGTGGTATTCAGTTCATGCAATAATCATACAACCCCCTTTTACATTTTTCCATGTTATTGCACAGTATGAAGATTGTGAAATACCACCCATGTTCATACTGCCACCACAGTAAGAAAACCATAGGACACTGTCTATAACCACACAGTTGCCACAATGCCATAGAGACCCATTTCTAAATAATAAAAAGTTACCTTTCAACAATCCTTCTCTCTACCTACAGTGACACCCACCACCAGGTGAAAACTGAAGTCCACCTGAATGTCAAAGGAGTGTATTTAATCTGGACTAATGGACCAAGATCCATCATTTGTGGGTTTAACTTTGTACTAGACTGTGCCATTGTTAAATATAATTTGGTGTGCCTGAGCACTTAACCCACTTAACCCTTTCAAAACCCGGTATCCATCCCAATGGAAATTGCATTTTCATTGTGCCTGTGGTAATTTCTTGGGATTCTTGTGACTTTGCTCCCCATATTACACTACAATGGGTGCAATTATGCATGGCTCAATTCCATCAGAGGCCTTCTCTCACCCATCAGTTTTGTAACCTTCTGTTATATAATTAGATGTATAAAATATAATATATGGTATGATATGGTAACTTGAGACAAAATTTAAAAAATGACAGAGAACAGCAAAAGGGCTCAATATTACAAAAAAAAGAATATTATAGTGGCCTTAATTCAGGTCTGGAAGGGTTAATACCTTCATGATGATTTATGAGGATGGGAGATGTGATGATATTGCACCTGCTGCTGCTGCTGCCCCCCCCCCCACATTGTGTCTCTCCATGTCTTGTCACCTCTCACTAACCCATCCTAGGCTTTTGTTAGGCATTGAAATTCCTCCATATATTCCAGGAGTTTTAGTTAAAGATTCACAATAACAGCTGAAGTTTGGGATATATTGGGGAATCTTTGGGCTAAGCCTGTCAGAGGTACACTCTTGTCTGATATGGAAGTGGGCTGAAAATGGGAAGTCAAAGGACACAATAGAGGGAATGAGTTTTCAGCCAGGGAGGCTCCAGGGCAACTATGACCTCGAAAATAATAGTAAGAACAAGCAATGGTGATGCAGCCCTGAAGTATTCAGGATAAGAAGGTGGTGGTGGCATAATAAAGCATATCCCAATATCAGTTGCTTGGACTCAGCACCTGGAACTATAAGGCACACCATCATTGTGTGCAGCCCATCACAACTATGTTTTTGGTATTAGTTCATTAGTCTTTGCTAGAGGAGAGTAGTCAACATCAATTGAAGGTAGTTTTTTAGTATTGGCACTAGGATGTTGTGGTATGCAATACACTTCTCTGTAGGTATAATGTGGTGTTTTGGCGATACCAGCAAGGAGGGGGGGGGGGGGGGGGGGGGGGGGGGGGATCCCAAACTTCAGCTGTTATTGTGAATCTTTAACTAAAACTCCTGGAATATATGGAGGAATTTCAATGCCTAACAAAAGCCTAGGATGGGTTAGTGAGAGGTGACAAGACATGGAGAGACACAATGTAACACCTCCAAAAAAATGGAGGTGGGGGGTGATGACATAATGAACCATGAACCTGGCCTTGGTCCTGTAATAACAAAAGTTCCATTTAAAAACCTTTTTTTTTATCATATTCTTATAAATTTCACTTTATTGC